TATATATATATATATATATATATATTGTCACTGATTTATAAAGAAAAGAAAAATATTGGAGATTCAAAAGCCAAATGCAGCGTTCAGACTCACTATAGCATATATTTTGCGCGTGTGAAATAAAACCGAAAGGGCCGATCGAATCACAGGTGGCTAGCGACGAAAGTGATGTAGGTATAATAATAACATGGGATTACGCCAGGTAGAAGGAAAATTAGCACAAGGGCATGTAGATATGTATTTATGTATGTATGTATGTATGTGTATGTGTTTCTCTCCTTGTACGTGTATTCATAAGATGGGCTCGTTAGTTTGTTCTAGGGTGTTTCCAGCGAACGTGTCCATCCGACAAAAGGATGTTTCTCTACGCGGTACGTACGTATGTACGTACGTACGTAGTATTATACCGTTGCCGTACTTGGGTTATATAACATTGCAGATTGCGTGAGGTCAGTTGCAACGGTATGGTAGATCTATACGGGGTGACCAACTTAGCCAGAAAACTCGATTGCCGTCGTTCAACAAAAGCTGTAAAGCTATTCCGCGCCCGAATTATATATAGATATATACTAACGTAAAATATCGCATGACGAGGTACAAACGTTTTTTAAATCAACGTTGATCACCCCGCAGATATATGTATTTACAGATACATATATACACGTTACATATAAATATATCCGTATTTCAAATGTATTCGTAATTATCGCTTGTACAAATAAAAATTATTTTTTAGCATAAAATGAAATATTACGTTGTGTGTGAAATTTCAAAAATTTTATAACTCTTGAGAAAATGCACGGTGTGTAAAAATCTGAACATTTAATCCAGAAAATTAAGATACAATATAAGCTATTACAAATATTATTACAAATATCATATTTTAAATTTATATATAAAGTAATTTCTTTTTTCAATTTGAAGAAAGTGATTTATCAATAAGATCATGTATCTCTACTTATTCTTTTGCCATTACAGTCTAAAAATAATTTTTTTCGCAGCATCGACGAATTTTTTTGAATACATTTTAATAATATATGTATATGCAACGGGATGACACTTGTCGGAAGGCAAACAACATCATATATAGATATATCGATAATGCCACACGGTGCAGCGTTATTACAATACGCCTTGATACGTATACAGGTAGACAAAAGGTAGTACTACATTTGGTCCCAATGAGAGAAAAAGAGAAAGATAGAGAAAAAGCTACGGTAGAGAAAAATGAATAGTTAGATGGAAAGGTCTCGTGGATATAGTAACTAATGGAGGTAAGAGCTAGAGGTAGCATTAACCCGTGCCAGCTGGAAAATCTAAGGCAGGGTGGAGTCGTAAAGAAAAAAAAATACTGCCGGGCATATCTGTACGAGTGAGTGTCACTGTGTATGTATATTATATCAACCGCGCGTCAATCCTGAGACCCTATCACTTTCTCCCCGGCTTTTCCTTGCTTCGCGATGCCTGCCAGAAAAGGGCTATTACCTGTAGATCCTGCTTCGCCGCCTCCGCGCCTGCTCTTGTGTGAAAAGTCACGAATCCCACCGGCTGAAATGAGAAAGAAGAATACAAGAAGCATTTCGTTAATATCCATGATTAGCATCTCTCTCTCCTCTCTCTCTCTCTCTCTCTCTCTCTCTCTCCCCTCCCCTCTCTCTCTCTCCCTTGGCGAGCATTCATTACGCGAACGCCTCATCGTCGCTATTAGTTCGCCCTCGAACGAGCTTAGAAACCAACGCGTTTTTACCATTTATATCATTGTTTTCATTTGGGAACGCTCATTGCATCGTTCATAATAAGTTCCCCAGTGAAATAAAAAATTGTTATGCAAAGTAATTCATGATTATTACATAATGATAAAAACGAAGTCCTTGTTTAATTTTAACAATAAGATAAAAACCTTCATAAAAAGATATCGATAAAGATTATTATCTCAATAATTTTTTAACTTATTGGAATGATATTAAATAGCTTTGGTTATTATATAAGATCATAAGAATCTATTGAAATAAAATAAATTTATATAAAAGTTTTGTGTTATTTATTTGCATTTTTGAAACTTTATTCGCAAAAAAGCTTTCATTTTTATTTCTTTCAGAACAATCGCCCAGAAATCGAAAGATTCGAGTTCAATTCCCGACTCAATCGATTGGGCTTGAATTAATTTTTTATTTCTTTCAAATTTTCACATATTTAAATAAAATAATTAGTTATTTATAATTAAAATAATTAAATGCTAATTGCAAATTATCGATTGCAAACGCCAATTGCAAATTACTGCATAGATATTTTATATTAATCTTCTAAAATTATTTTCAGAATGTATCTGATAAAGTGAAATCAGATCCAACCAGATGCTTCGTTTTATTCATCTAATAAATGGATAAAAAGGTAAATAATAATATAACTTCTTCCCTTACATTTCTAGATGAAAATATATATACAAGCAAAAAAAGCTATATATTTGGTCAAAGCAAATATATAGAGATGTCTAATAATATTTTTGAGTGAATTTTATTATTCAAGTAAAAAAAATACAATAAACTTTACTAATTAATTAATAAATAATTAACTAGTAAATAATTACAATAAAACAAAAAGTACTTTGACTGATGAAGTTATAAAGTCACATTTGATCCCTAGTCATTAAAAGGTTATATAATATCAAATTTTTTTAGAACTAACAACATGAATACATACATTCAATTCATTCTTTTATATAACAAACAACAGAAAACAAGTATAATCAAATAAAATTTTGAATTCATTATTGCTAATGTTATCATGTAATTATTTTATCTTAAAAGTAGAAAAAAATGTAATAATTCCAATAAGAATTACAATATTCCTTTCTTGCAGAATATAAACTGTTAATAAATGTAATGCAAATTAATTAAGTATATTATAAAGAAATTATTTTACTTATTCGTGATAATTTCATTTGTAACAATATGCAATAAATCCAATAAATGTAAAAAGATATTCTATTATTAATATAGAGAGAATCAGAGTAGTTGAACCAGTTTTTATCCTTTTAATCCCGAAAAAATTATCGACCTAAATGACTTAGCGATATAGATGCGAGGATACATCCTGCGAATTACTGGGCGTACTAAGAAAAAGACGCATTTTTAATAAATTGTAACAATTTTCACAACTCAGATACAAGAGACGTGCCTATTTTCGCGGTCAAACCAGTAGTTCACATGATATTATTCACGCATTTGATCTATTGTTAAGTCGATAATTAAGTGTATAATCGATAATTTTCTTATAGAGCAAAAAACTGGTTAAACTACTCTAATTCACTTGTATCTAGAACTATAGTTACATTATAGGAAATACCTGATTGACTAAGATTATCGAGAAGTTACACTCTCTCTTTTGCTTGCACTGTTGCATTTCTCAATATATATATTTGTCCTTTTATGCTCTGCGCGCGCGCATTCGCTAATCTATTCGGTAGAGAGCATCGATTCCATCGGTTTATACGAAATTAACGGAGCAACGAGGATAGAGCATCGCGAAAATGCGTCGATCGATATTAACGATTGCCCGTCAAGGCGAACCTACTACGCTTCATAATGTATCGCGTGATTACACCAACTGCAATCGAAGGTGCATCGATTCTATCGATGTGAGAGATAGAAACTCGATTGTTAACGCGGAGATTCGTTACTCGCTGCCGTTTACTTCCGCGCCACATCCCTCGAATATTCATGCATCCGAAAGAATAAAATTGGATCCGACTCGATTGAGTGCGCGCAATATCGAAATACAGAGACGCCGTGAAAAAGAAAAAGTTAGAATGTAAATGATATTT